ATTTTTTTAGACCTGAGACCTGAAATATTTCAGTTGGTGTGCAATGAATCTAAAACATATGAAAGTTTAATTTTTATCATTACATTATGGAAAATAATGAACTTTATTACAATATGCTAATTTTTTGAGAAGGACCTGTATGTGTGTGTGTGTGTTTTTAAAGCCAAAGTGGTTATTATGTGGGTTACCTTTTTTGTGAACCTGGCAGAAGATAAAAAAAAAAAGTGTTTTTGATAAAAAAGGAAGTGACCAGTTTGTGTAAAAGATTAGTTCAACCAGAAGTGAAACTGTCATCATGTACTCACCCTTAAGTTGTTTCAAACCCATATGACTTTCTTCTGTGGGAAGAAATTTTGTTCTGATCACTAAAGCTAAGTGATTTACTGAAGATGATCTAGTCATATGGACTATTTCGGTGATAGCTTTGTGGGGTTTTTTTTTTTTTTTTTTTTTGCAGCTTGAAAGCTTCAGCATATTGACCAGTACATGATTACAAAAATGTATTATTTTGTGTTTCATAGATGGAAGAAAGTCATACAGGTTTGGAACAACATGAGGGTGAATAAATGATGCCAGAATAGTCATTTTTGGGTGAGCTAATGCTTAAAATGGCATCAAAAACCTTTGAGTTTTGTTCTGTGTAAGTCATGTGTGTCATTCTCTCAGTACGCTCTGGAGCGCTTAAAGGTCATGTGTGAGGAAGCCCTTTGCAACAGCCTCTCGGTTGAAAACGTGGCAGACACCCTCATCCTGGCCGACTTGCACAGCGCCGAGCAGCTCAAAGCACAGGCCATAGATTTTATCAACAGGCAAGCGCTGCCAAAGAAACTCTGCTTGATAAATTCCTGCTGCCACGGCTGTTTACCAGCCTGAGAATGAGAGTGTTTTTCTTCTATCTTATCCATAGGTGCAGTGTCCTCCGACAGCTGGGCTGTAAAGATGGGAAAAACTGGAATAGCAAGTATGTAATTAGCTGATATGTGTGACACAAGATTAATACCAAGCTCTTATCTGCACTCTTAGATGCATTAGAATTCATTGTTTTAGTTTCTGGGCAGCCTGCGCTGCTTGGTTGGTATCCACAGCCCGCATATCTCCTGATACTGGTTATTAATAGACTCTGACTGTCTGAAACATCAAGGAAGGGAACATTTCTGCATTATAAACATATCACAAAGTCTCTATTATAGATCCCCGACGCCCTGCTGATCGTACTCTTCAGAATGGCAATAACTCCTGCATTAGTGCATGCTCATTCGGAGGAAAACGGCCTTTCGTATAAATAGAGTTGCTTGAATCTCCCGTATGCACCATTGAATTGAGCCTCTCGATTTTTAATGTCTTGTGCTAATACTGAAATGTCTTCACCCTCTCCTGACAGTCATGCCACGGACATAATGGAGACCGCAGGCTGGAAGTCAATGATCCAGTCTCATCCTCACTTAGTGGCGGAGGCTTTCCGTGCGCTTGCGTCAGCACAGTGCCCCCACTTCGGCTTGCCCAGGAAGCGCCTAAAACAGTCGTGACGACATTTCTGCTGCTCTCTTGGGCCTGTCCTGGGGCAAAAGCCAGAACACTGCAGAGTTTCGACTCAATACCATTGTCATCTGACCCGACAGCACGTGACTGGGACAGGCTGGCTTCTAAACGACAGCGAAAGCTGTTCGCACCCTTCTCGAGCAATGGGACCGGCATCTGAGCTTTATTTTGCGAATCTGTCACTTCAAACAGCCTTAAACTATCTGCCATGACTCTTGTGTGGAGTATTTGAATTCTCTCAGTTCTACTCTGTGCCTGCCTTGTCCCATGAGACCAGGCCTCTTCCCTGTTGCACTAGTTCCCAAAGTCTCGCTGTTTTGATATGGAGCTCTCTAGGAATGTGTCAGGAATTTGATCCACATGAAATAGTATATATTCCTAATGTTTAGTTGTGCGACTAGACATTACATAAACGTTAACACGATGAGTGCAAGGTCATTTCTTTATACTTTTTGAAAAGATAGCTATGCCCCATATTGATGGCACGATTTCTATGAAAAGACACAGTTTAACCACGTGGGGAGGAGAGAATACTAGTACTATTCCATATTGTCGGAAAATGATATGCATTTCAGATATTTGTATTGATGTGTGTACCAAAATGAATTGTTTGTGTCCTGCCCCTTAACCTGTGAAAACATTGTCATCTAGACACAATTTTACAAACGACTACATTTTGAGACTCAATAGTGTTGCTTCCATTGAATTGGTCTACCAAACACAGACAAGTAGTGTGAAGTGCTCGCCCATAATCGCATTTGTGTAACCTGATTGAACTAGTCAAGACAATCCATCTCCGAACACGCTGTCCTCTGTGATCAGGAAATATTTGGATGCTGAGCATCAGAGTGTGACATTGCTATGTATGTCATATGGATGGATTGAATGCGTGAGTGGGAAATACAGATAGATTGATTGGCATCGATCTATCACGGTTTTGTTTTGAGCTGTGGTGTTAGTCAAACTGACAGTGATTTGGAGCAGTCTGTACATTGTCTTGCTACACTGACTTGTTCTGTTAAAGGACATGTTTTGTGAAGATTCTGGAATTTGTTCCATCTTTTAAAAAAGATATTGTCTGAGAGATTGCCTGCATTAACTCATTAAAAAAAAGTTTTTCAGCATTCAGTGGTGTTTTATGTATGATTTATATTCTATACTTCCATTCAAGACAAGTCTCTTATGCTCACCAAGGCTGAAAATAAATATATTGTGAAATATTACACTTCCTATTTTAATATATTTAAACATTTCTGTGATGGCAAAGCAGCAGGCATTACTCCAGTCTTCAGTGTCACGTGATCCTTCAGAAATATGCTGATTTGGTGCTCAAAAACATTTCTTATTATCAATTTTGAAAGCAGTTGTGCTGCTTAAAAAAAAATATATATATATATATATATGCTTTTTTTTGGACATAAATGACATGACAGTTTTATGCATCCTTGCTGAACAAAATAATTTATTTCTTTTTTTTAAATCTTACTGAGCCCAAACTTTTGAACAATATATTATAATACATCAAATATGATGTTTATAAGTAATTTCTAGATTGGCAGTAGCAGTTTCCTAACAATTGGCAGTCTGATTTTTTTTTTTTTTTTCTTGCTTTGGATTATGTACTACTTGGTGTTTAATTCAGTCCTTATACAGGGAATTAGATTTTCTTCAAAAAGAACAGTGTATTATTTCATGATCTCATCCTGAGTAGCTTGTTAGAGTTAAGTTTCGCAGGAAGTGAAATGCCATCTGCAAAATGACTAATGTTTTGACATTTTGGTTTGGTTATTTGTGAATAACACATTTCAAAAGCGGTGATGGAATGGTCAAAAAGAGCAATAAAAAACAACCGGACATCCAGCTGCATTTCAGATTGTATTTTGCTAAACATAAGTCATTTTGTGATTGATTAAACATTGCAGTGTTATGTTATAACTGCAGCACAAGTTGTGGTGCCATGACCATTGTAATCTTTGCAGAAGTCTCAATGTATTGTTCTTGCATCCTCCATGATGGGGAAATCAGGGGCTAATTAAAGCGAACAGCATGCAGTCTGTAATCTGAGCTATCAAACACACATCTTTTTCCCGTGCCAACATGCCGCTTCATGCCGACCGTTTTCCGCGGCTCCTAGGGAACTGTGATAACATATCACTATTAGAAACCCTCTCTCCCACTCCTGTCTGTCTGGAAGACAATTTTTAAGTGCACCACTGAGCTAATGAGACGTTGCGGATTCATACAGTTCTTTTTTCCATCATAGTACAATTCAGTTTTGTCTTTTGTTCTTTTCTTTTCTTCTGTGTGAATCGAGTGGTAGGAGGCCATCTATGTTCAAAACCAAAAACATGACAATCCATCCTGAAAGAAACAAAAGGTTAACACTTGTGGAAGAGTCCATCGTTTGCATGTGCATATAAACTAATGTAACACAAGTCTATACATCAGAAAGCTTTTTATTGAATATGATCATGTATTAGAGCTTGAAGAAACGAAGCACATATCACAGGATGTAACGTTTTTTTTTATCCAGAGGTAATGTGATTTTGCACGATTTTTCACTGATTGAAGAACCAGTGTTTTATCTGGTCATAAAAATGAAGGAGAATATGCATATGTTTTACTACAAATCTCACATATACTGTCTGGATATGCTTTGTGGTTTTCTTTGTGACAGACATATTGAATAAAAGCAATAAATTAACCCTCTATGGTACAATGTTGCTATATGGCAGCATCCTTTTCCTTCAGTGGAAAAAAAGAACTGCTACAACGTTGGAAATAAAAGGACATTTGAAAAAGAAACCAATAATATGCTGGTTTTAAGCCACTTGACATTTGATTTTGTCTCTTAACTTAGATTTTTTTTTCTTGGTGTCACCCACATGAAGGTGCATTGAAGTGCTCTATAAATAGCTTTATTGAATGAGAATGAACTTGTTCTTTTTAGTGAAATAGTGAAGTATAAATAAATTCAATTAAAAAGTTGTAAAAAAAAAATTGGGTATGTTTTACAAAAAAATACTATTTTTGTCCTACTTCAACATTTATGTTTAATTAAATGTGCTGCTTGCTGTTTCTTTGTAATATCTGTGAAACTTACTAGCAATTTATGAGTGAAAATTGTTTCAAAGTAAATCCTACACCACCTTTTTAGTGTAAATGCCTACCATAGAGGGCTAAAAGAAAGCTGGCAGCTCTTTTCCTTGAGCGTTTTTTGTATATTACAGATATTGAGGACAAACATAAAGCGTACAATTTGCAGTTGTGAAACTAAAGCTGTGATAAGCCAGATGACTAAAATCTACATCTACTTGATATAACTGTCAAACACCAAACGTAGGAAAATTGTTAATGCTGTATTGAGAGAATAAAGAAACTAATTCATCATTAAAAGGCAAAATACACACGGTTTTAGTCACATTTATACACTATTCACAAAATTGCACACAGGATTATAAACTAAATACAATTATAAACAGCTATCTTTTTATCGACATGTTCTTAATGCTAATGTTCATGTGGTGTGGCAAGACAATTAGAGTATCAGTACAATTAATAATCCATCTGATTCTTCACTTCGAGCAGAACTGTGATCCGGATCAGTCGTCCTGATATGAGAATGAAATAAATGGCCATAATCTGTTTGGCACCCACACAAAAACACATATGGAACCTGAGAATTCCAGTTCTGATTATCAGACTATGGCATTTCAACTGGTTCATTGTGACACACTGACAAAATGTGCAAACAAAAAATTGATCTCCAGGTACTGTTTTAAATGATGAAAGACATTACAAGGCAGACTCACATAATGCATTTCATGTGCGTTTGCATAAATGTCTGTATTTACTCCCAACACATCTTTACTTTTCGAGGAATGGAGGACATGAAAAAGTGTGATTCCAGTCCAAAGTCACTGGCATGAATAGAGGTTTGAGACATGACTGACATGCTAAATTTCAGTTTTTGGCTTCGGTCCCCTCTGTCATGGTTTGTAAGTGAAATTTCCCACTATAATTAATGTTAATTAGAGCCTGGAAATGTGGATCTCTGTGGCGAGACCATGACAAAGGGTTGTTAACCGGCTGCCAGATTCACTAAATCCACCTGTCCAATGAATTGTTCTCTCGTGAGACATCGCAAATTACTCTTTGAAATTGTACACAAATCTCAATTCACACATAGATCTTTTGTGAAATGCAAAATGACTAGGAGTAATTTGTATGTGATGTCTTTGCTGAATGATTTAACCCGTTCGCATTTACCTTGACAACTGCATAAATGATTTTCACAATTTAGTGCCAACACATAGCTCAAAACACACACACAAACACACATAAACCTCACAATAAAAAGGTGTTTCACTTATATTCTGTCCTCTGTAGGTCTGTGATTTATTAGCTTGACAAATAGTGAAAGGTGTTTTTGGGAAAGATTCCCAACAGAACTAACCCTAACCCCAACAAAACTCAAACCATGGGATGGGATGTGGGACGTTTAAACCCCCAAAAAAACGTTGATCGGTAATTTTGCCATCACATGTCGTGTGAGGCAAAAGGCAAAGGCAGAGGTTGAAGTACATGCCAGTAATGTAGCCTAATGCGAAACATCTGGATTTATTTGAATTGCTTCTAAATCAGATGAAACACAGGGTGAAAATGAGGTCGACCATTCCCACTGTGGAGGATGGACTGGATCTTAACCTGTGGAAGCGTACGGCGTGTCACTGTGGTAGTTGTAATCTGGGCAGATTTTCTGCACCAGCTTATAGTCAGTGCTGTAAAAGGCGATGTAGATGCATATGACTTTGAAGGGCTTCGAGCAGAGCCAGGACACGTGGCTCTGGGTGGACTCTTGGTAACACACGTTGGATGGGTCATAGCTGCAGTGTGAAGTCTTTTTGCTGCGGTCCGTTTTCTGGTACTCGATACGACAGTTGAAAGATTTTGAGTCCTTCGTCTCCAGGGTGGACTGCTGGGCGATCTCAAACTCCACCACCTTGGAAGGTGGCACCAGGCTTACGGAGACGTTCCCCAGGCCCGTTGAATTATGACGGAAGTATACGCTGAACGTGCCGTTGCCGTGGTCCACTATCTTGCCTGTAATGAGGAGATTTAGTTTCACAGTCTTGATGTTGGAGTTGAAGTCACCCCAGCCGAACATTTTTTTAAACTTCCCCGTTTTTACGATGGGTCTGCGTTTAGTCCTGCTCTGCGACTCTCTGACATCTGTCTGGTTAGATAACCAGTCCCAGGAGTCCTCAATGTTTTCCAAATATGTAATCTCCCTCCTGTTGCTCTTGAACCCAGGGGAACCCCGGGCGAAAAGGCGCAGGGGGTTGAGAACACGGGGGCTGGCGCTTTTGGGGGAAGGGTTCACCTCATTTTCCCCCCAGTCCACAAGCCCCACCTCTGGAATATGGACTCTTCTGCATGTGACCTTCCAACAACACTGAGAAAAACACAAACGTGAGAATACATCATATTATATGTATATGTAGGCCTAATATTAACATTATAATCTTTATTATAAAACAGTACAGTGCAACAGAGCCCGTCCACTTTTTCAGCTGCCTTGGTTGAATTGTTTTTCACATTCCTCTTTCCCATAGGGATTTTTAAAGAAAGTCGCTTAAGAGTTATAAGCCATGAACAAAACCAACCAGCTATGAAGTGAATTGCATCATTACAAACTTATATTTTAAGCAAAAAATCTGACAAAAAGACAAGACTGTGTACTTTGGAGACTGTGTAACGGCTTTAATGTGGGATAAAACTACAATGCCTTGAAGCATTGAGGATAAGAAATGATGAAGAAATATAAAACTTCATTTAAATAAAATGGAAAGATGTTGGTTATATAGAAGCAATGTATTTAGCATTCAAATATTTAAGTAGTTTGAGTACATAGGGAAACTGATGTGATGCTTGTCTTGGTAATATGTGTGTATACCTCTTAGTGTTTAAAAAACATTCAAATGATCTGCAATGGGTTTTCGAAAGTGTAAACACAAAATTATTTCTGCAATACACTGCAGTTCTGATCCTATGTGCCAAATAACCTTTTTGCTCCAGGATTGAGTTCTGGTCCACTTAAGATAAAGTCTTAATAATTTGTAGAAATAAGCCAAACTAGTTTTGCTGGTAATTAGCGCAGGCTGCCATCCTGAGGCACGGCTGAGAGGATCATTTGCTGAAGCAGATGTGAAAGTAGGGCTGTTTGAAATCGCACAGACGAGCAACCCTGTATTTTCTCTATAATTACTAATCTTGCTGTAAGCTTAACAGCAGCATATGAGAACTCAGTCAGCAAAGGACTATGTTCATGAAGACATTTCCATCCAAAATGGTCCAGAGCATATTAGTATTTTAGAGGCTGTGCTTTATCAAATATGGTTAAATTCATTTCTGACTGACTGTGTAAACTTTTTGATGGGTGTAAAATGTTGTTGTCAAAGAGTGTAATGGCTATAGAGAACATCATGCACAACATTATAAATGATGCAAACAGCCAGTAATAGCCCAGTAATTTGAAAGTTCCCTGTATAATGTGAAATCAATGTGTCTCCCATGGATTGGGGGGTTTGTTCATCTATCATTCTTCACAAAACTTAATTAAGACAATACCTCCACGTAAAAACACAGAGAGAGAGAGAGAGAGAGAGAGAGAGAACACAGTGTAAATTTCCATAATTAATTTATGGGCTGCAGGTGAAACTTTCCAACATCTTCAGAAAGTCCAATGAACAAAGTTGGAAGATAACCCTCAATGGAAATGAGAAAAAAGAAATTGAGATTTTTGTCTGTGATGAAACATTTATTCACTTTTGAGTCCCCCTGGTCTTGTACAATGTTCGGTAAACTAGACCGCTCATATCTCTGTTCTTACCTTGGTTGTGATTCACTTCATTTTTCATTTTGCAGACCTCAATGACTTGACAAGGGAAGATGAATACCATTCACATTTAGAGAAAATGTGGTGAGAGACAACTTCAGGTGAAGCAGCAAGGAGATGATAATACTAATGTGGAAGCAGTTAGAGGATGATGAACAGCTTCGGAAATTGCTGTGACAAGTGGAGGGATCACAGGCAAAATAAAATGCTTTACTGGCTTGAGAGGAAAACTTAAAAGGTTGTGCTGACAATCAGTCCCAATCCTCTCTCTCTCTCTCTCTCTCTCTCTCTCTCCTACATGTAGGGTGGCAGTAATTCAACACATATTTTGGTAATATGTTTGATGTCTAACTCAAGGGAAGGACTGAAGCTGTGACTTTGGTAGAGGTAAGGCATACAAGGTTTGCTAAGGGGAAAATCTAAGAACGTTAATTAAGACTTTAACTAAAGTACAGTACTGTCCTGAAGGCTATAGAGTCAGAGTAATAGACAGACATTAACCTTTAATTTTCTTCTTTCAGAAACAGCAGTTTGTACATATAAGAATCATGTCTATGGAAAGTTCCCATAAAACAAGGACACCCAGTGTGTGTGTGTGTGTGTGTGTGTGTGTGTGTGTACAGAACTTTAGAGTCGGTGCGATTTTTTTAAATGGGCCAAGAACAGCATTTTTATTTTATTTTATAATGTTCTCTGAGGTCCACTCATTATGTTATCAAGATTTTTGTATAAAAAAGCATCATCCTAATTTAGAAGTACTAAGGTGTTTTCTAGTTTTGACCCTCTCTTTCAAACACTGCATTTTGATAGGTGTGGCATTTTGATGTAAACGCCCACTGCTATGATTGGGTTTTGCATATTAAAATAATTTTCAATGTCCCCGCCATTACACGAGTGGAATCAGGCAATTAAAAAAATCTGAATTATGAGCTTGGTTTCAATAAAAGCTGTTTTTGGACCAACAAGGAAGTTTTGGGTTCTGAAACTTACAGGACATTTTTATAGTACCATAACCTCTTATGCCAAAATATGAAGGAAATTTAGATTTCTCAATTCATGACCCCATTTGTTTTTTTTGAAAGAAGTCTCTTATACTCACCAAAGCTGCATTTATTTGATCAATTTTTGTGAAATATTATTACAATTTAAGATGTGTAAACTGTTTTCTATTTGAATATATTTTAAAATGTAATTTGTCCCTTTGATGGCAAAGCTAAATTTTCAGCATCATTACTCCAGTCTTCAGTGTCACATGATCCTTCAGAAATCATTTTAATATGCTGATTTAGTGCTCAAGAAACATTTATTATTATTACCAAAGTTTATCAAACAGTTGAAGCTTTACATTTTTTAGTTGTAAATGTGAAAAAAAAAAATCAGTAATCTTTGATGAATAGAAAGTTCAAAAGAACAGCATTTATTTGAAATATAAATCTGTAACTTTTGATCAATTTAATGCATCCTTGCTGAATTAAAGAATTAAAATGAGTATATGAACAGGTAGATAGATACAGATATCTATATCATAAAAGCAGACATTAAATGGTTTAAACCTCTGATAAATATCTGTAATTTGGTAATGTATTGTACAATGTGTCAGTCACCCACACCGATAGCTGGCCGATTTTCATAGTGACAGCATCATAATATGACATGCACAAAGTGAGAAAAGAATCAGTCTAGACGTTCATCTGTAATGAGCATTATGGAGCAAGCTGTCTGCCAGTCCCTGGGGTGGACATATCTTTTACGGCTTGACATAAAGGTAATTGCCGTGGTGACCAGAACTAGCCCTCTAGAAAGTTATTAAGAAGTCAGGGACATCTCAGTGGCGGATCATGGATGAGGATGCTGTTAAAATGCATTTGCTTCGTCTGGTGGTAGCACACCTCTGATGGCTGTGATGGCTCTCCAGCCCCGGGGCATGAATCTGTTTGGATGTCAGACCTGCACCTTCTTGTCATTTTCCGTCCATTTCTCTTTCTTGTGCTGTCTCCCTATTTCTCAGCCCCAGAGACTGTTTGTACAGCATGGTAGTGCAGCTGTGATTTGTACCTCATTTTGAGAATTTACTTCCTTGAATTCTTCCTTGAAACTTTACTTTACTAAGGCTGGAATACACTACACGACTTCTGCCTAGATTTTTGCCCTGTTTTGCAGTCTGGACGAGTTGATGCCAGTTGCTGAAAGTCAGAGCCAGTCTGCAGATATTGGACAGTTGACAGAGTTGACAGATTTCACAGTAAATTGTGTAGTATATGTTGGGCACAGACTCGAATAGACAGATATTTTGAGCTGATTTCAGAACAAATTGTTTTTAATGAGGCAAAATTTTCTGCGTGGGTTAGTTGTGTTTGGGGACGATTTAAAAGTCGGGTAGCATGTGATCCTCAGTTGTTTATATCTTTTTTTTTTTTTTTTTTTTTTTGGCAATATATAAAAGCCTATAGTGGTTTATAATCTGATTTTAAAAGGCCAGTGGTGTATTCCAGCTCATCCTTACTCACCCATTCCATTCTACCTAAGCGTTTTTTTTTCCACGGAAAATAAAAGGATACTTTTTTTTTTTTACATAAAAAATAGTTCATAGTTCAACAATGAACATAAAAGACTTATGCACCATATTTCATGTTTTCTGAAGTCATATGATAGTTTGTGAGAAACTGAAGTTTAAGTCTTTACACTAATAATACTGTAGTTCTCTCAACCAAGTCTAGGCTATGTTCATGTTCATATCAAAAATGCAACCCTTTGAAATCTAGATGCAAACACATTTCCGTCTGTTCCTTGGACATAGCTATTGTGTGGATCCAGTAGTGGAATATAACATAGTTTTATTTATTTACGTATACATGTATGTTTTATTGTTTTTTTTTTTATTGTTATTGTATTGTTTTAATGCATAGTTCAAGTGGGATAACATTGAAATTTATTTATAGGCTTTTTTTTTTTCTACATTACTTTAAAGAACAGACAAAAAAAATGAAGGGAGAGAGAGAGGGGGGATATGGGATCTGATTCAAACCTGAACGATTCTTGTGGGTCTAGTGGGTCAACCATCTGAGCTCATCTAAACCTACTCATGATGTTCTGTAATAAAACACATCTAAGCATGCTGTGTCATCAAATACACACCACACAATTATCCAGACCAAAATGTATATACTACACACATATAAGAGCATTTTGTTTAAGCCAAGGCACCCATAATGCAATCGAACTGCAGTTTCTTGTTAAACAGTACTGAACATGGCAGCAGCTGCCTCTCCATTACACCTTTCCAGCTTCCTGTTCCTCCCCAAAGTCTCTGTCGTTTTATTCCTTTCTTTGCCTCTCTCTCTTTGTCTCCCCACTGTTTCTCCTGTGTGGTGTTACAGGGCATTTCATTTGTAATGATTCACACAAAGAGCAGTTTCAAGAGAAGGGCCCAAAGGCCTTGAGGAGGCAGGTGGGGTCCTGAGTCTACACACGGCTGCAGAATAGATTGCTACCCTGATGGGTGAAACAGCCGCAAACCCGAAACCCATCACTCTTAATCAAGAGCCGGGCTGCTAACA